GTCCCTGAAAACTGCCTTGAGAGATAGGCTTGTTAGTTTACCATAGCTAAATATTTTTCAAATTTTTTTTTTATGAAAATAATTTTTATTTCAATTATAGTAGTATACGAAAAGAAAAAAAAACAGAGTTCAGTTAGTCAAATTTTTGCTAAGTATATAGGCAGAAACCGCAGAGTATTGTATAACATTTTGACAAATAAATATTTTATTCATTTATAACTTTTGTAAAAAAAAAAAGTTATAACTTTCCAATTTTGTTTTTATTAAATGATTATTTCTTCTTTTTTCCAATAAATTTTTTATAAACTAGCATTCATTTTTTTTAGAAAAAAAAACATNAGAGTTCTGCTCTACGCCACCTGCAGCCCATTTCGATCGCCAATAAGAACAGCTAAACATCTAAACAGCCATTAACAGCTAAAAATAGAGCTAATTTTAAACAACTTAATATAAAGGACCCATTTTTTCTCTCAACACTTGTCCTAGCTTTTTAAAAATGTGTTTAAAAATGGTATGTCTTTTTAAAAATTGAAAATCAAAACGTTTTGAAAAAGCAAACACTCGCTTTTTTTTTTTTTTTACTATGAATTTGATTTGATCTGGATTTCTGAGATGAAAGATACAACATTAAAAGTAATACTGGAAGAACTATCTTAAACATTAGTTACAATAGAGATTATATTGATTAAAATAAACATATTTATAAAACTCCAATAAATTGCAACAAAAAGTAGAAAATTCAAGACTGTTTTAAGTTTAATTATTTCCTTTACTTATTTTAAAACAGTTTTAAGTTCAACGTTTTTCTCATCTTTTTCCGGTTTAACTCTTTAACCGGTAATTCTAAATTGTTGTGCTTAAAAAGGAAAATAAAATTGTTCAGTTGATTGACAGAATTAGTATTCATATTTTTAAGAAATGATAAATTAGAATAATGGTGGTCGAAATAATTTTTATGCATATTTTATTAAGTATATTTACCTTTCTATTATTTACAAGAAAAGAATCGGATAAGATGAGATATTTCGATTTTCTTCGATCACGTGGTTCATTTTGGTTACCATAAAAACTTAACGTAAATTTACACAAAGAAATACAAAAGACATAGAACTCTCATTTTTTTTTTCTCAGCAGTATTTATGATTTCAGTATTAAAATTTTAAGAAAATAATACTTTTAATTCAGAAAAAATTTTGACGACACAGACGAGTAAAAAGCGATAAAAAACCAACTGTTTTAAACCTTTATCCAGCCCCCACTGGGGTAACTCATTGAGGGGTGAAGTTACTAGTCTCTGAGCCACCATGGCTATACAAATATCATAAGTAACATTAAAAAACCCATTTAAGATAGCCCACATTTCAAATGCCATTGTACAAATTCTTATTTGGCCCTGTTTTCACATTCACGTATAACATTGGTGATAATCTTTTACTTGCATTAGATTACTCTGTTTTATTAAATGATTTCCGGATAAAGGTTTACAATATTTATAAATGTGTAATTTTTAAAGGTTAATATATCATTGCATTCCTGAAAAAATATTTCAGTAAAACAAATTAACGTGAGAAGGTTTTGGGTTAGCTCATGTCTCTGTAAATGTTTCACCAATGCTAAAAAGACAATAAAAGTTCGCAAAGTTAATTTAAAACAGTTACCACGCTCATAAAATTTTTGGTCTCTGCTGGCAAAAAACTGATCCAGGTGATTTTCGACCTCTTCATATGAAGTAAAGGTTTTACAGTGCAAAAAATTTTGCAGTGACCAGAACAAACAATAATCCAAAGGCGCCAGATCTGGAGAATATGGTGGGTAGGGCAGTGTATCCCAATCAAGCTGTAAAAGCTTTTGGCGAGTGACCAAACTTGTATGAGGTCTCGCATTACCTTGGTGGAACACTATACTTTTTCTGTTGATTAATTCTGGCCTTTTCTGTTGAAGTGCATAATTCAGTTTGTCCACCTGACGACAGTAGATTTCCGAATTAATTGTTGTGTTATCCGGTAAAAGCTTAGTAAAAAGAAAAATATTCCTTTAAAATCCCACCAAACAGACACCATCACCTTTTTTTTTTAATGGATATTGGCTTTCGAAAGGCTTTGAGCCAGACAACAAATCAGTTCCCTCTTCTCGTCTGAAATCAAAGAACATGTTCTCCATCACTCGACTCTTTTTTTTCTTCTTTAGCCTTCGAAAAATTGTTTTTCTTTAAATAAAATTCAAACCAAAGCACAACTTACAATTTGTCTTAAATAAGAAATCCCCTAGCCATTCGTCTGGACCAGTGCCGGTGACTGTGGTAACGAGGTATAACTATTTCAAGTAAGGGTGTGGGGTCATTGTTTAGGACAGATTTTGACTGGTCGGCCCGAGAAAGGGAATCTTTTTCTTCGGTCTATTGTGTTAGCTCAAGAGTGAAGAGAAGCTACCCTCCCTGAAAAGCGCTAGTCTTGTTTCCATAGCAGCAGATGGCTTCAGACTTTTTGGTGGGGGGAGTTCTTACCATAGACAAACAATACAATGTAAACACCACCCCTTACCTTACAAAACATGATATGCAGTTGAGAACCAACGGGGAATAACGAATCGTCTAATGAATATTTTGACTGTTTTATTTCTGAGTTATGGCGTTGTTTTTAAACGTATATTGATATATTTTTACTTATTAACTCTTTTTTTATATATTCTAGCTTGTAGATAGTTCTATAAAAAATTGTTTACTTACAAAAATGAAAAATTAGACTTTTATCAAAGTCATGCACAGCGAATATAGTAATAAATATTAATATTTAAAAAATATTATCACTTTTCAATGTTTATGATTTCCCACATAAATACGTTATAACATTATTTTTATTTTATAATGCAATCTGATTGTTATGAATTTATTCCAAGCCCCCTCAACTTTGAGGCTGAATCGACGCCTTTGCCTCTCTAGGATAAAGTTTTGAGATAGAATAAGAAGTGTTCTTAAATTATGTTCAGATCATGTACTATGCTACGAGTAACAACAGGGCCGGCCCTAGAAATTTTGGTGCTCTGGGCAAAACCTTAATTTTGCCCCCCCCCCCCCGTTTTTTTTAAAGTAGATCTCATGCGACCATATCAGAAAGTCAAGAAAAGATTGAAAAAAAATATTTAAAAAAACGTTTTATTAGAAACTCAATCATCAGATAACAAGATAAGCAATTTAGCACTTAAGGCAAAATAACAAAAATTAAAGTGTAGTAATGCTAACTAAACTAATATTCCATATTATAAATAAATTCTAGCTAACCAAAGTAATTCAAATGCCCTCTTTCTAACTTTTCTTTCGGCTAACTCACGAGCCAGTGATTTCAAGTCTAATTTGGTGTTCTATAGCTATCATTGCCAATCCATTGAGACGATTTTGGGTCTGCATCGTTCTGAGATAATTTTTTATTATTTTTTGTTTTGAAAAGCTTCTTTCCCCTGAAGCCACAGTGATTGGCAATGTAAGTAGGATTCTTAATGCTATGCTGAGGTTTGGTGCGAATTTAAGTGTAGCGATAAACTTGAGAACTTCAACAGGGGTTTCTTTTTTTGTTAATAATGACGAAACTATGCTTATTTCATTGGCTAGTTCCAGGGCGTTAAGATCGCTCGAATTTCCATCAGTTAAAACTACTTCCAAATCTTTGCAATGAGCCAGTAGCATGTCTTCTAGACCAAAAATATTATTCAAAAATCTGAAATAATTACTGTGAGTATTTAGCAAATTATATCTGGTTTCCAAGGCATTTATTGCTTGATCTATAGTGTAAAAAAAAATCTATTTTATATTTTTGTTTGAGGTCTTGAACGGGTTCATCCGGGCCCTCATACAAAAACGTTCTTGTTTTGCTTCTGATACGATGACATGGTGTGGTGGTTTCGAAATTAGCTTCTACGTCAATCTCGGAAGCAAACCCGGTTGCTTCTAAAATGATACTTTCAAAATCATCTGATCTTTAGTTTCTTGTGGCGCCTGTCATTTTTAAAGGCACATTGCTTCTTACGTGAGAAAATAAAGGGTACATTTAGCTTGTACCTTTTATGTAAGAGGTACTGTTTTATATGAGAGGTACTGTTAGAGTGTACTCCCTACATTTTATTTTTATATTTGTAATATATAACTACCCAATTTTTTTTAATACGAAGGACAAACAAAATGAAAAATACTCTGCCAATTTGTGGGCGTTTAGCGCACATGATTAACACCAAATACCCTCTTCATTGTAGATACCTCCACTGGTCAAAAAAAAAAAAAAAAATTGATACCACACAAGACATTTTTTGATGTAAACTCTAATTTTTGAAATCCCCCCCCCCTGTGTGCCACTGGCTAAAAAAAAATAAAATGCATTTTATTCAATTCCAGACTCAATTACCTTTCATTTGATACCACACAAGCCATGTTTTGATCTAAACTCTAATTTTTGAAATCTACCCCCACCCTTTTTTTGGCTTATGCCTGATGGATTTTACTCGTTTTTAAAAATGAAAACAAAAATTAAAACACTTACCTTCACAGAAGCCAAACGCACTGGACAAATTGCACAAGCACTTTTTAAAGATATTTATGCACTAACAATTTAAACAAACTATTTTATTTCGCACCAGCCGAAGTCTAGTGGCAAATAATGCATTGTTTTAAGTCTACTTCCTTTTTATATGGAGTTTAAAAGGGCTGTTAGATCTTGTTTCGCTTGGTTTCAAAATTGTTGTTTCCTGTACAGTCGTGTTGCCACGGGCCGAAAAACTTGTCAATTCTTGAAAGGCGGTGGTTGAGTGGTTTTGTCATGTTGAATTGAATTCAACTAGATTTTGCCTTAATGTTTAAATATATTATATTATTTGAATTATGTGCTTAGAATAGAAATGATAAATTCCGCCTGCCACCTCTCAATCTTGTCAACTATCATTTTGGCGCCCCTAGATCATTGCGCTCCGGGCGGCCAACCGGATCGCCCTACCCTGGGGCCGGCCCTGGTAACAAACATTTTGCTTTTATCAAAACATGCACAGTTATTATGCATTTCAATACTATGTTGCACTACTATATTTACAATATCAAAAAAATTTCACACTGATAATAAGTATTGCATTTAATGTTTAAGAAATAAGAAGCATTATTCACTAATTATTAAGATCGTGAACTGATGAATGTTTTATTTTCTTTCATGTTAACAGTTTAAATAAGCCAAAACATCTCAATGAAATTGCAATTCTCTAAAAAATAAGGATTGTTATTTCCCAAATAATATAGGTACTATGTTATGCAATAACGACCCATCGCCGATATGTTCACAAAAATGCATAGTAAACTAATTATGGTTTTATGATTATTATTCTCTATTCTGTTGTTCAAGTTTTTGTCAAATTTTATTAATTAATAATGGAATGGTTTATCATGCTTAGTAATGAGAATAGTCATTGTGCGTGTATATAGATGGCTTTATTACAATTTAAGTACCAAAAAAAAATTACTGCAGCATAGTCAAACATTCCCCAAATATAAATTCATTTAAAATGATTTCCGTTCTAAAATCATTTCACTAATATCGGAATCAACGTCTCGCTGATTCATTAATTCTCTATTTTTCCATAGTTCTTTTCTACCTTGCTATATCACAAATCATTCCCAGTAGTTTTTGCAATTGCCTGTGCGGTGCTAATCTTGTATTGATATGCTTCAAAAATTAAACATTAACAAACACTCTTAGACACAAGTACGTATAAAATGACATTTAATGTGCAAAGGTTTCGTTTTTGCAACATGATGTACAGCAAAAAGGGTAGGCAATTTCAGACTTTTTCTCTGGTTATTCCAACATAGTATACAAATTTTGCACCAGGTTAGGTTTAAAAATCATAACAAGCACCAATACACCATAAAATGCTAGTTCAGAACTTTCGCATTTAAAATATATTTTCATTCTTTTAATTAATTAAAATGTAAACTGATATTAATTTTTTGTATTATGACATAAATAATCAATATTTATATAAATTTTTTTATTAAGTTATATGTAAATTTATAATCGTAAGCCTGACATTAAATTTCTGGAATAAAAGCAAAGTTATAGAATGATCATAAAAATTCTAATTGATTTATAATTTTAAAAATCTAAAAGTTACATTGATTTGATAAATATAAAATAGGTACAAACTCTGTGAGTTAAAAATGAATTCATGCACAAACAATGAACGATAAAATCATGAACTAATGTAATATATAAATAAATATAGTATGCAAACTATAAAACAATTAATATAATTTTTACAGTGCATAAACATGCAATTATAAATTTATTGAGTGACTTAATACAAATATTTGCTTACCTGCTCAGAAATGGATTTATTTAGACTTCTTGTTAATAAACGATAAACTTTGTTAAAAAAACCTTATACAAACTTTATTTAAAAAAAAGAAAAAATTTAATAATTAAACAGTAAATTAATAGTTAAAACAATGAATAAAACAAAATGCAAAAGTAAACAACAAAATGTGAAACTGGAAGTTTGCTAATTTAAGTAATTGAGTAAGCGCTTTGTATATGAGACGATTTTAGAATGATTATAAATCAGAGAAATTCTCTTGAAAAAATCACAAAAACAAAGTGTGAACAAGAGGCTCCCCCTTCTTATATCCCTAAAAGTAGGCTTTTATACATCTATTTTCCAAGAAAGATAATTGTCTGTTTGAGACAATTTTTGAATAGATAGCCAACAAAGTGATGAGTCTGTTGATACCCCACATTTTAAGGAAGAGAACTAAAGAGCCCTGGGCAATAAATAAGATAAAGACAATTTCAAACTGCAAAGGCCATTTCCTCATAAGCGTAAGCTAAGGCAGCTATTTTTGAGGTATCACATAACAACGTGGGAGGTTTTGAGGGGTGCTACAGAATCAATCTTTATCAGTTGACAGCGTGAAGAAAAGGAATGGTGTAAAGAGCGTTTTATTGCTTATTGAAGGAAAGGGTGACTTTGGCAATTCTTGCAGTTCTCTAAACACCTGTTTTCTTTTCTTTAATCTGCATTTTTTAATGTGTTTTATTTTTTACTAATTTTCCTTAAATTTAATTTATGTAATATAATAGTTGCACTATGTAAGAAAAAGATCGTAAAAGTTATGGTAAAAAAATATATATATATATTTTCTCAAAATAATGGACCCTGGCTTCCTAATTATTGGGGGGGTCCGGACCCCTATGGTTGTGGCGCCAGTGTACTGCTCAGAACATAATGTCACTGTTGACTCTCCTTGGTGCCTCAAATCCGTTACCTTATTCAAGAGCGAATTCCAGGTACTTTATTCAAGAACTAAAATTTTGTACACATTATTTAAGAACAAGGAATCAAAACCGGTTACTTAGTAACTGATATAGCTTAACCGATAAGTTCCAAAGAGTAGTCAGAGAATTTGAGCTAATGAGAAGGAAAAGACACTAACGTCACGATCAGATTAAAACTGGTTTCCTCCACCAGGAATGTTATCTTCCTTCCTCAGCGACTAAACGGAACTCTTCCAAAAAAAATTCTGCCAATTCTTTTTTCTTTACTCTCAGCACCAGCATTCCCTGTCTCTATCGAAAGACACTTTTCAACTTTCGGTTTGGTGTTGAATAAACTACAAAATAGATTAGGAATAGATAAAGCTACAAAACTCGTAAAAGTCTCCTAAGAGAGAAATGTAGATACTTTGAATCTGCTGTATGATAATAATAATAAATAAAAAATGAATCTTTTAGAATGGAAATTTTAGTTTTTACTGATTATAAATATTTATTAATTATAAATTTGTAATAAGTATTATTAATTTGTAAATATATATATATGTAAAGCAAACAAAAACAAAAAGATTAATATACTTGTTCCTTTTATATTACTGTTGCATTTATATTTTATAGTGTTTCAGTTAAAAATTGTGAGATGTTATGTATTTAAGAATAAAGATTCAAATATGTATTAGTGATATTGCATTCTTTAAACTTATTTTAATATATATATTTGATAAACTTTTTTGGATTTATTTCTATTTTTAAGCTAATACAACACTATTTGATAAATAAAAATATTTTCACAGTAAGTAGTTTATGAGCACTACAGGAAAAAACCCAATATTTTCAGTTTTTTTTTTTTTTTTTTTTTCCAAATAAATCCCAATTTCCCCCGGTTTTTTTTTTTTTTTTTTCTTATGGTTGGTTTTTTCAGACCCTGACTTGGTTAATAGTGAATTTTTCTTTAAATTTATTTTATTTTCATAGGATACCGAAATGTCTATGGAAGAAATAGTTCGAGGCATTTGTAGTCAGGATGCTCATCAGCAATTCATTGCTGCTCAGAATGCTAGAAAAATACTTTCCAGGAAAAGTTGTCCACCTATAGATGCTATGATTGCTACAGGAGTTGTTCCCTATCTTGTACAATTTCTTATATGTCATGATAAGTAAGTAACATTTGAAAATTATTTTGCATTTTGTTAATGTATACAGTGCTTAAAATATTTTGAATTCTTATTTTTTGTTGAAAGGTTTGGCTATGCACCCTGAATATGTCATAGTTTAGTTTTAGAAATTCAGAAGTTTTATTTATATAGGACTCAAGGGTCTTACTAAACATATAATTTTGTATAAAGAAACTTTGAAATATAAGAAAAATTAATTCTTTAAACTAATAATAGTTATCTACACATGCTACCAAAGTTATGTTTTTATTAAGTCTCATAAGTGTTAAAAATTTCTTACAAACTAATTTGTCTATTGAATCAAGTGTCAATCAGTAGATTTTCACTATTAAATTAACTATTAAGATTTAATTTGTTATCTGGATTGATAACCGAAAAGTCACTTTGAATTCTGCAATTCACTTTGTATTAGAAAAACATTTAATTCTGTTTTCAATTTTTAAAAGAAATTTAATTTTTAATTTTTTTATTTTATTAATATTTTTTACGTGCTTACCTATTTAAAAAGTAAGTAATAAAATTCATTGCATAAAGTAAATAAATTTACAGATCATTATAGTAAACATGTAATACCAGGGGTCTGACTAGGTTTTTCTGAGAGGTACCTATTTTGTGAAAATTTAGACATAATTTGTGAAGAATTAAAAGTTATGTTAAAAAATCAATGCGAAAACATGGTAAAAATATAGATTTATCGTTTCTTAAGGTATACCTACAAAAATAAAATTTTAAGAAAAAGTATTTTGTGAAACTACCGTTTTTCCTAAAGTTGAATTTGTGAAACTACTATTTTTCCTAAAATATAATTTATGACGGTACCGCTAAACGGTAGTAAATTCGGCCTTGACAGACCCCTGAATACTGTCTGTTTTCAACAACATAACAGGTTCTGACTCAGATGCCTTTGAACTAAACCTAACATTTGGCATATCAACCAGCATTTTACTACAATACTGGTTTCTGATAGCTGTTCGTAGCTCTAAACCATATCAGTGTTAAAAAATATAAGTTACAGGGATGAGATTTTTCAGCATTTAAGCGGATTTTTGCTTTTGTCTTGAATTTCAGCCTTTTTATTTTTATAAACAATCTGCTTTTTCTGAAAATTCAGTCGTTGAAATAGAATAATTATTTCCAAATTTCAAAGAGAAAGTTCAAACTACGTAGCTACCAACCCTCACACATTTTTACTTATTTTAGCTATTTTCTCCACTTTTAAGCACAGAAAATAAGATTTTCCATATTTCCCCCTCGCCCGCCAGATAGCTCAAACTTTCGTTATTCAGATCGTGCTACTTCCCGTTTGCTGGCGCAAAAACCAACAAATTAATAATTAAAAAATTGTCAGGGGATTTGCTGTGAAAAGATATATTTGCTCGTTCAATTAATCTTTTGAATTTTTATTTATGGCTCAACAAAAACAATACAAACAATCCTTTTAGAAATCCCAAGCCCAGAATCTGCTAATATCTCGATTCTTATTCACGCGATTTTAATATCATACATCGATTTTCATATTTACCTGATTTAAAAGTTTCGTGTTGCGATTCTTAATCACGCAATTTAAATGTTGTGCATTGCGATTATTATTAACGAGATTTAAAAATAGCAATATTATTACAAAATGTCTATTTTACTTTTCTTTCTATTTACCTGAGTTGCTCATTTCAATTTTTATTCACGTGATTTAAAAATTATGCATCGTGGCTCGTATTTATGCTATCTAAAAATTACACATCATGATTTATTATATTTTCGTATTTTTGAAATCCAATGTAGAGTTTCATATTCCCAAGATATAAAAACCGCATATCAGAGTTAATATTCTCTCAATTTAAAATCATTTTCACAAGATTTTAAAATCATGCAATTGATTCATATTTATACAATTTTAAAATTAATCGAGATTCATAATCACATGGTTTAAAAATTGCATTTTTTTTGTCAAAATTTTTGGATATCTTAGCTTCTACTTATTATATATATATGTATATTTATTTAATCTAGGATTTCCTCTTTTTTACTTTCTTACTACTCTCATCCCTGAAGTTACCGCATCAGATTGTTATTTTAAGAATTTGCATTTAGTCTTCGTTTTCAATCCTTCAATTTTTTTAGCATCCCCTTACAATTTGAAGCTTGTTGGGCAGTAGCGAATATTACATCTGGCAATTTTGTCCAACGAAGAACTGTTGTTGAGGCAGGAGCAGTCCCTAATTTTGCAAGTTTATTATCTTCTCCACATGCTAATGTTGCAGAGAAAGCTGTATGGGCCCTAAGAAAAATAGCAGGTAAGTTAATATTGTCAACAGATGGCACTATTGTCGGTGCTGCAGTATGTCGAGTGCTTATAGTTAAAGTAATTATTAATATGATTTTTAAAAAATGTTCATTACATAAAGATTTATATATATTTTTTACTTCGCTAAATGCGAGTGCTTATATTATTTCCAGTTTTGAATTTCTCTTTTTGACTTTACATGATTATGCACGATATATCCCGAAAAATGTCTTGGGGTAAAATCCCCGTTGTCCTATTTCTCCAATGTTAGCTGGTATGGGAATTGATTTGCCAATGTTTTTCTAAAATTCTAATATTATTCTGACATGCACAGTTTCACTCATTTGAATGATCATTTTTTGGTGTACTCTATTTGTGTTGATACCTAATAATTTTTAAAAATAGTACTTGAAAAAAATAGAATGATGAAACTGTCTAAAAAGGACAGGGGTTGTATATAAAATTTTAATTGGAAGTTTTACTAGTGATGGTTTAATAATGAAAGTTGTAGTCCGTAGATTGAGATTCAGAGAGAAAGTAAAGGTTTATTAACAAGAGACAAACACATACAAATTTAAAAAGAACGCCATCTGGCGGTATATAAAAAAAAAGACTTCTTTGCTATCCTTCCCAGGGAATGACAACAATCTCCCCCTGCGAGAAGGATTTCACTTTTAAATACAAATAACAATATACACATGAAAAATATTAATTCTCTTAACATAAATTTCAAATTAATCTTATTTTTTCCAAAGAAAAAATTCAGTTCTCAAAAGTTACAGCTTTAGTTAAAAAATCAGAAATATTATCATTAGTATTCTTATAAACAGTTTTTAATATTTTATCTTCAATCATATCTCGCACAAAATGAAATTTAAGATTCACATGCCTGGTTTTGTTTGAATATTTACCATTGTTCAACCAGTCAATAACTACTTGGCTATCAGAAAACATAGTAACAGGAGCATTAATAAATTTTTTACAGTTCATTTCATTTAACATATTTATTATCCACTTAAGTTCTCGAGCTGTGTCAGCTGCAACAAATAATTCAGCTTCACATGTTGAAAGTCCTACACATCTTTGTCTTCTACTTTTCCATGTTATAACAGAATTTCCTATCATAATTACACAGCCTGAAAAAGATTTTTCTCCTTCTGCATTGCCCTAACTTGCATCCGCACTATAATTTAAAAGACCAAATTCCTTACCATAAAACATGCCTATCTTTTGAACCGTTCAAATATTTCAAAACTCTTTTAGCCAAAACATAATGCCTTTTTTCAGGACGTTTATCAAATTGTGATAAATAAGTAGTTACAAAAGCAATATCTGGTCGTGTTCTATTTGCTAAATATAAAAGCTAACTGACGATTTCCTGATAATCAGTCTGATCTACTAAATCATCAGTAGGATTAAAACATCTATCTTCACCTTTAGTTATGGGAGTATTTGTTTTCTTACAATTTTCACAGTATCGTCTTTACGTATGTGCACAACCGGGCAGTGCCCGGGGGCCCTTGAGAAGTTTAATCTTTATAGATTATACTTAAAAAAAAAAAAACTTGTGATAAATAAATTTAAAAATTACAATTTCTTCATCAATGGGAGTTGAAATAATTCCTTCATTAAACACTTTAAAGTGCATACTTTTCTTTTCTACAATGGGAGTTGAAATAATTCCTTCATTACACACTTTAAAGTGCATACTTTTCTTTTCTTTCTACAAATAGTGATTGATTATAGTGAAAAGGGATTACAGGAATAGCTTGTTATCATGACAACTTAAAAAGACGCCTGAAGTTTTACATTTCCATGAAATTTTTAGGTGATCAACTTGCATTTCCTTTTCAGTTTGTTCCTGTTCTTTCATACATTGTCCTCGCTCCAAGGGGACCCTTTTGGCGAGTAATCAGAGGAGCGAAACCATTTATTTTGCTAGTCCAAGAGGCTATTTGTAGCATAGCGTAACGAATTGAAAAGAACTTCGTTGCATTTTGAAATTATCTTATTTATGGCCCTGCACTCCTTTGCGATGTTTTAAAAATGTGGGATATCCACAGAACCATCTCTTTGTTGGCTATCTATTCATGAATTGCCTCAAACAGGCAATTATCTAGAATTTCTAGGAAAACAGATGTATTAAGCCCTTATCCATGTTTTAGGGATTTAAGTAGGGGGAGACATTTGTTGATATTTTCTTTCTTTCTTTTTTTTTCTTGGTGATTTTGAAGAGACTTTCTCTGACAAAATCATTTTAAATTTTCTCTTACAAAGCGCGCACAGTATCATTTTCTAAATAAATTGTACCATCGAGAACTCCTGTTCTTAATAAAGTTCATCTTTGGATTGAAAGAAATCCATTTCTTGGGAGGTAAGTAAATGTTTCTATTAAATTACTTAATACATTTATATTTCAATGTAGTCGTATATTTCAATTTATGTAGTGTTAGAATAACATAGAATACAAAAATATGAAAGAATCAGAAGTAAAAAAAAAAAAAAAATAGTGCTATTTTATTAAAGATGAATTGAAAAAAGAGAAAATAATCATTTTGTGCAAAAGAAACTAGAAAGTAAAAACAGAACTTATAAATGAATAAAACGTTTCTTTGTCAAAATGCTGTTATCATAAACTATTCTGTGGTTTCTGTCTAAATATTAGCAGAAATTTTACTAANTTTTTTTTTTTTTTTTTTTTTTTTTTTTTTTTTTTTTTTTTTTTTTTTTTTTTTTTTGTATACTGCTGTAATTGAAAAAAAAAGTACAGTACCCTGCCAAATTATGAGGGACACTTAAAATTTCTTAAAAATTATCATTTTTCAAAGTGTCATAACTTTTTCAAAAATGAATAAATTTTCATATAAATTTCGGGATATTATGTTCAGGTCTTCTACTTTCACCTAAAAATTATTAATTTAATTTATCTCAATTTTTTGCAAAAATTTATACATTTGAACAAAGCAATATTTTTTTTTTTTTGTTGAAAAAAAAAATTCAAGTCTGAGAAGTTGCTACTTTGTGACAAAATTTTTTGCATAAAAATTATTATTTACACATTAAAGTACAAGTCGTTAACTTTAAAACGCGATTAAGTAAATGACTTTACGAGCTTTTTTGTCCCAGATATGAGATTTTGAAAATTTTTTGTCATTTATAGTGAAAAGTTGTGGCAGTATTTTTGGTGAAAATGAGATTTCAATTGGATTGAATGAAATCGATATCAAAATTTTATAATAAATTTGAATTGTTTATTCAAATTATGTAATTAACGAGATATATAATAAAATGTTTATATTTGTACTCGAAAGTATAAATAGTTAGTTTTATTTCTAAACATCTACATGTTCACTATTTAATGTTGTGAATTCGAAAATTATTTAGTATTTAGTATTATTTTATTTTTTTATTTAAAACATTATTACAAAAAAGAGCATTCTTTGTAAATTTACAATAACAATTTTAAAAAACAAATAAAGAAATTTAACTTCATTGTAAAATTCAAAAGCTTTTTTACTAAAACAAATATAATAAAAAAAAATCTTAATATTTTGTAACATAAATATATGTATATTTATATATATATATATAAGTTCAAAATGAAGATAAAATAAAGGAAAATAATAGACATATACAAAAGGGATGTAATGAAGGGATAGTAATGAAAAAAATAACAAACAACAGATTAAAAAAAAAAGAAAAAAGAAAGGATGAAATTTTTAAAAATTCCTCACACTATTGTATTAATATATTTTGCTTTGGCTATACAGATACAATATCAGAAAGCACTCTTTTTTACTGATATAATCATGTGGGCTGATGAAAAGATATCTTTTATTTTCCGTTTTTTTTTTTAAATTTCATCCTTTTTTTTTTCTTTTTTTTTTAAAATCAGTTGTTTGTTATATTTTTCATTATTATTCCCCTTCCCCTATTTTGCATATGTCTATGATTTTCCTTTTTTTAAAATTTTCATTTTGAACTTATCTAATAAGTTCTGTTTACTTGCAGCTTATGTGCAAACTCTAGAATAGTAAAAAATTTTTGTACTTGTTATTTTTATTGCTCACGTTGGTTGAATGAATACAGGGTGACATAAATATTTATGTAAATGTAACTTATTTAATATATTATGTAATATTATCAAAACCATACTTTGTTTGTTACAGTTTAAACAACGTGTTTTTTTAAACAATTTAATAAAAAAATTAACTTTTTACTCTTTATTTCAGTTTGATTGTTAAAGTGAATTTGCATTATCAGGGGTCTGTCCAGACATTTTTTAAAAGGTCCGTTTTTCGTAAAATTGTGAAAAAATTCTTTACATTCTTTCAACCAGGGTCCTGCTTTCATGAATTTGTGCAAATAGGGTCCGGTTATTGCAAAAAAATTTTTCAATGAGTTTTTTAATTGTAAATAGATGCAAGATTATGCTCGGAACTGAAAAATTATAATAAAAAATTAAATTTTCAAAAATAAACAGCAATTGCTACTATTGAATTGGAGATGAAACATGCAAATATTTGGTATTTAACCTATACTTCTGAACGTAGAATATTCATTTTGGGCGAATAATGGAAGAATCCTCTGCCGAAGACAAAACTAAATTCGTTTACATCCATCTTTCTTGTTTTCTGCCCTGGGAAGGGTTTATTCGATTAACAAAACAATAATGAAGATAAACAAATTTGTGACGGGTCCGTTTTTTTGAAAAGATATTTTGTGAAGGGTCCGTTAACGGACCCAAATTTTTTCTAAACAGACCCCTGATTATTATAAACATATATAAGTATGTAATTTTTAAATATTTACGCGTCATAGCGCTTTTGAAAATAAATTTATGTGAGCAAGTCTTAAGTCATACTGTCTCTAAAAACTTGACTAATGCTAAAAAGATCATTAACAATTCTGTTTAATTTTTCGAATTAGTAAAATAAATAATTTTTTTTTTTAAGGATATTTCTTGAGAACGATTCTTGAAGTTTATTTTCAAATTTTTATTTGCAACAGTATAAATAAATTTGTATCATATAGATGCAATATTTTTATCATTGTGTTATTTTTTAATCACATATTGTGTTATTTTAATAGTTTTATTTTATAACCGTCGTTGAACAGCTGACCCAATTTTTTACGATTACTAATGTTCAACTGCGTAATCTTCTAATTTTGAACCCAATCCAGAAGACAAGGGAATTCCAGGATAAAGTATTTGCCTTCGTGGAGGACTTTTGGGTAGAACTTACCCGCATTTGCATTACATGGAGAGGAAGACCACAAGAACCCTCCACGGTTAGCCTGACGGCAAGGGGACTCTAATCCATGATCCGTCTACCACTGAGAATATTTTACGTCAGCACGGATGTGTAAGCCGGATGCGTAATTCGTATCGACCGACCATCGCTGGGATTCGAACCTGGTTCACCTCATTAGAAGGCGAACGCTCTATCTCCTGAGTCATTGCTTTTCATAAAAATAGTTTAAGAAAAAACTCAAACAAAACTCATCATCCGGGGATCGAACTCATGACCTTTCGGACGTGTGCCCAACACCCGACCAGCCTGGCTATCGCGCCCCAAAACTGCCCCGGAAAAGGGTGAAAGTAATCATATATCCGTTATATATACGAAATAATGAAGATTATCATGTTGCGAAGAATCGTGAGGTTATTTAAACATTACGATGAATGATTTTTACATTAAACTACGAAACTACTTTTATATATTTACATTTTTATACACAAAGACATTTCTGTCAGGTATATATTAACAAAATGTTTTTGACTTAATTAATTGTTTCAGCAGTTCAATTGCATGATCAATTGCTTTTTGTAGATCTTGATCATTTATCAATAGCATGATAGTTCGATTGATGGAAGTATCTTTTTTAACACTTTTTTTTCAGCTGAAATATTCTTCTGAGAAATGAATCGTACTGCTTTGAGTGGATGTCAGAAAAGAAAGAGAGCAGCAGCGGAAGTAGAAAAAATCAGCAAATTGCCTAAACTTACTTCATGGCTGATATCATCAGAGACAAAATCGCAAAATACTTCAACGACAGAAAATTATAGTTCAACATTTACAAATGCTCAACCAATTTTAAGTGAAGATTCAACCGAACCCGGCTTGGCACCTGTTGATGAGGTCTACAATGAAATTTCAGAGGAAAAAGAATTGAATGAGAAAAAGCTTTCTGTCCAATCCACAGATCCTGGTCTCTGGAACGTGAAAGACTTAAGTCTGGTAGATTACTGGATTCGTGTTGGACCATCATCATGCCAAAATAGTAATAGGGAGTTCAGTAATTCATGTAGAGTATATGAAACAGGACCAAATAATCAAACTGTTAATCGGTATCTAACTAAAAATGTATTTGAGCGAAAGCTGCGTAATGGTGAATGCATTAAACGTGAGTGGCTACTGTATTCACCATCCCTAGGAAAACTATTTTGCTTTGTTTGCCGTCTTTTATCACACAAAGAATCGCCATTTTCTACATTAGGATTTAATGACTGGAAACATAGCCACAAAGTAATATTAGACCATGAAAATGGAAAAGACCACCAAGCATGTTTGCGAGAATACTTTATAAAACATAAAAAGTGTGGGAGCGTAGATTCTATGCTCATTGACCAATATTGTTCAGAAAGAGAAAAGTGGCAAAAAATACTTACGCGTGTTGTTGCTACAATTCGATTTCTTGCATCTAGAGGTTTATCATTTCGCGGAGATAATCAAAAACTTGGTTCAATAGGAAATGGAAACTTCTTGGGTGATTCCTTAGTGATTTTGATCCCTTTTTAAAGGAGCATTTGGAGTTGAATGGAAACAAGGGGAGAGGAAAAACGTCATACTTGTCAGCAAATATTTGTGAAGAGTTTATTGGCATAATGGGAATACAAGTTCTCAATTTTATTTTAAAAGAGCTACAGGAGTCAAAATACTTTTCCCTGAGCGTTGATTCCACTCCTGACATTTCTCATACAGATCAACTGACTTTAACAGTTCGGTATGTTAAGGGAAGCAAGCCTATAGAACGGTTTTTAAAATTCATTCCTATATTTTCCCATGCATCAAAAGACTTAGCCGAAAATATAGTGAACTATTTTAAACAGAATGAAATTCCCTTATCGAACTGCAGAGGACAATAGTATGATAATGCGGCAAACATGTCAGGTCGATATTCTGGACTGCAAGCACGAATTCGTGAACTAAATCCGTTCGCAATTTACGTTCCTTGTGCTGCCCATAGCCTTAACTTGGTAGGAGTTAAGGCAGCTGAGAGCTCTGTGCAATGTGTGAGATATTTTGATTTTGTCCAGAGATTGTATACTTTTTTCTCATTATCAACTCACCGATGGAGTATTTTAATTTCTACTCTAAATGGTGAAAAAGTTGTGAAACAGTTGTCAGGCACTAGATGGTCATCGCGGTTTGACGCAGTTCATTCATTAAATCAAGGTTATGAAAAAATTCAACAAGCTCTTTATTTATTATCAAATGACGCTGAACAAGATGCAAGTACGAAGAGGGAAGCTCATAAACTTTGTAAAAAAATGAGCACATTAGAAATAATTTTTTTTACTATATTATGGAGTGATATTCTAGAAAGGGTGAATAAAACAAGCCTATTTTTGCAATCACCTGAAATGAATTTGAGTACAGCTGCTAAACTTTTTGATTCCTTAAAAGTATATTTTTTTGATCTCAGAGAGAAATATAGTGACTATGAATCTAGAGCAAAAAATAAAATGCCAAATTGCGAATTTGAGTATTTAGCTAAACGCGACCGAACTCGAAGTATACGTCTCACAAGAAATGATGGTCCTGAAAAGGAAACCAAATTCAGTGGAAATGATAAGTTTAAAGTGGAGGCATTTCTACCTGCTTTAGACTCGCTAATAACAGAAATAAGTAAACGTGGAGAAGCGTATGGAAATATTGGGGAAAATTTTCACTTTTTAAGTAATCTAATGGACATTGAATTCAATGAACTGAGTGATAAATGCAAAAATCTAGTCAATACGTACAAGAATGATTTAGATTATGATGACATATTAAATGAATGCATCCATTTTAAAAATTTTTTAAATTCAGAAGAAAATAGTTTTGAACTTCCTGCATTGTATGAAACAATTGTTTCTGGTGGCTTAAAATCGATATTTCCCAACATTGAAATAGCATTAAGAATTTTTTTGTGCATGATGATCACAAATTGTACCGGAGAGCGGTCGTTTTCTAAGCTAAAATTGATAAAAAAATCAATTACGCAGCACTATGGGACAACAACGCTTGAACTGGCTATGTCTGATGTGCATTGAAAGTGATGTGTTATTTTTNAGAGCGGTCGTTTTCTAAGCTAAAATTGAATAAAAAATCAATTACGCAGCACTATGGGACAACAACGCTTGAACTGGCTATGTCTGATGTGCATTGAAAGTGATGTGTTAATGACTATCGAATTTGATGAAATAATCAAAGAATTTGCGAATAAAAAAGTTCGCAAAATTTGTTTAAAATAATTATTAAAGGTTTTTATTTGGCTAAGGCGTTATATCTTTATTTATCTTCATTTAGTTATTGCGATTACCTTTTGCCTTTTTAAAAATTATTTTGAATGTGAAGATTACTGCTGGTTACCATCTAAAATTTTTTTAAATTATAAATATCTTGAAAAAGCTTAATTTTTTGTGTATTAAATTTTCAGAGAATTCAAGATGTTTTTAAATTTGTCAAAATTATTGCATGTTTTAAAAATGTTTAATTTTATATTTAATGTTTGTGAAATTTTTATACTTCGATCTTAAGCAGTAATTCATGTTTAAGGGGCCCAAACCATTTACGTGCCCAGGGGCCCTTCATGCTATTAAGACGGCCCTGAACAAATGTCTACAATTCAATTGCGCTGGGCTAAACATCAAGTCCAAACAAATGGAGTAATTATTTGGCTCTTTGAAAAAATGTTCTAGCATGTCCAGTGAATAAATTTGTTCAATAATCTCTTATCCAGTTGTATTGGATAAAATTTTGAAAGCCTTGTTTCCATTTCTATTGGTTTCGGAAAGTAATTTCGTTTTTTTTGGGGGGGGGGAAATGAAAGACAATTTTGGTATAATGAATAAATATTTTATTAAATTATTTATTGGCCATTCTGGTCCAACACCTTTTGCCATCTTTCTGGTAGTAGCATGATTCCATGCACATAAAATTTTTGGTCTTTGCTGGCAAAAAACTGATCCAGGTGATTTTTGACCTCCTCATTTAAAGTAAAGGTTTTACAGTCCAAAAATACAGTTCAAAAAATTCGCCAAAAAAGCTTTTGGCGAGTTGATCAAACTTGTATGAGGTCTCGCATTATCTTGGTGGAGCACTATACCTTTTCTGTTGATTAATCCTGGCCTTTTCTGTTGAGGAGCATCATTCAGTTTGTCCAGCTGAAGACAGTAGACTTCCGAATTAAGTGTTGTGTTGCCCGGTAAAAGCTCAAAAAAAAAAAAACTATTCCATTAAAATCCCACCTAACAGACAGCATCACCTTTTTTTGATGGATATTGGCTTTCGAAATGCTTTCAGCCGGTTCATATTTTTTGCTCCATGATCTCTTGCGTTTGACATTGTTACAGGCAACCCATTCTTCGTCCCCAGTAATGATGCTCTTCAAAAATGGATCATTTTCGTGACGCTTGAGAAGCGAATCACAGACGTCAAAGCGACGACACAAATTTCTCTCCGTGAGAACATGGGGAACCCATATATCGAGCTTCGAGGTTAAACCCAGGTCTTTAAAGTGGTCATAAACAGTTGGATTCGATATATTTAACCTCTCACCGACTTCAAGTGTTGTTTTTTGCCGATTTGCATCAACTAATTCCTTTATCGTGTCTTTATCAGCCTTAGCAGGCCTTCCAGAACGTGGTGGGACCCTCCAAGATTTTAAGAGTAAAGCTCGTCAAAAGTCAATGAGGCAATTGAATACAATGGCTCAACCGAGCCTTGCTTTCTGTTCTACCGTAAAGTGCTCGATTTCGCGTGCAGGTCTTCGTGCACTGAAGCGGGGATACTATCCCCTTTGCAGAGGATCAAAATTGTGATGGCATGTCTTCGGATCATCCTCAGGGATGTTTCCCAGACAGTCGCCAATAGCCTATTGTGCAGCTCTAATGCGACGTAAATGAGCTACAACAACATTTTCCATAAAAACAGCAAATTGCTCTGCATGAGGGTGACCCTCACGATTATAAATAAAAGTGTGAAATTTGCAGTTCATGGTGAATATGAAATGGAGTGGCTCTGAATTTTATACGCGAGGAAGGAGGAAGTGTTATGACGTGCGACATTCTGATCAGTGGCGCGGCAGCCCCAAGGGAGCCAAGGCCTACTGGGCCCATCTCAGTTTTATTGACATTGGGCTCTGGGGTGCAGGAGCAGATGTTCCAGTTAAGTGGTCAGCCGAACGCGGAACCCCCAGTGTTTAGTTCCCAAGCATGCTTGGTACTCATTTGTCTACCCACTTAAGGGATGAAAGGCTGAGTCAACCTTGCTCGGCCTGAGGATCGAACCCAGGAGCTGTGGCACGGGAGCGCGTAGCACTACCACTCAGCCACCGGGCGTCTAGCTTTAACTTAAGATAATTTAAAATCTGTTCTCCTATTTATATCCAATTATGTTAGAGGCAATGTGTCCTTTTCGCTCGCACTCACTTGTTTTTTCCTATATTTTAAAAACATGAATGTAATTATAAATGGATGCAGAATTTAACAGAGTATTTATAGTTTGTCTAAGCTGAGAACTCCCCCCGCCACATGGTCTGAGGCCGTCTGCTGCTATGGATACAAGAATAGCGTATTTCAGGGAAGGTAGCTAGCCGACCGGCCTGTGGAAGGGTTAGAGAACAGCCCTTGCACCAGAAAGGTTCTGGGATCGAATCCTGGGCAAGGCATGGATGTTCTTTACTTCTCTGTACTATCTGTCCTTACAGTGGGAGCAGCATTGGCCCACCTAATATGGTGCCCTTGTAAGAGAGGCCAACAAATCTGCCCTATTAATGTCCGAATTGACGAACAATGTTAACACAGACGGGCATTGGGAGGGGGGAAGGTATAGCTTCTCTTCACTCTAGGGCTAACACAATAGACCGAAAAAAAAAGTCCTCTTACCCTCGCCGAATCTTAGCCAAAATCTGTCCTAAGCAATGACCCCACATCCCTTGAAATAGTTAGACTCCATTATTATAGTCACCTCCAAGGGTCTTGACAAATGGCTAGGCGAGTTTTTACTTTAGACAAACTATACGTTAACTAGTTCATAAACATTTTTTTAGAAAAAATTGCACGTTGAGACATAAAGGTTTGCCACCCCTGGACTAACCCATCCGACAGAGAACAATGAAATTTGGCATACTAATAGTTCGTCGCACGAAGGTTACTGTTGACATTAAAACATTCTATTACAAACCGTTCGAGCGAAAAACGGATTGCAACTTTCTTGCGTCATGTCCACTTAATTGCATGTCGGATAATCGAATAACCCGCTTACACGAATGGAACCAAATCATTGTGTATGCAACTAATGTTAAACTTCCCCGTTTAAACTGACATTCTTTGTTTTTTGTCGCCGCCTAATTGCATGAAGAAGAGGTACTGAAATGAAAAAAAATTGTTTATTTTGGAGAAATGCTTCACTAACTAAAATGAAATTTTCGTTTTTCAGTTAAGATAAGGATACAATAGGTGGTCACTTCAAAAGGGTCCTGTTCATTAGTTGGTTTAAACAGGTGTTAGGGGTAAAATTGAAAGAAAAAAAATCAAAACTTGCTGTTAGTTATACATTGAAGTGAGCGACGAGTGTTTTACCCCTCTTTGACTTATAGTTTGTTTACGGTAAGAACTCCCTCCGCCACTAAATCTGAGGCCGTCTGCTGCTAAGGAAACAAGAATAGCGCATTTCAGGGAGGGTAGCTTCTCTTTATTTTAGGGCAGTGTTTCCCAAACTTATGACTTTTGTGTACCCTTTCTAAATTTTTCGTAACGCTGTGTACCACTAATAAAAATTGAGTCCATTTTTTACTATAAAAAAAAATTCCATAAAAGTTAAAAATCACAACTGGCTGTTGACACCACTAATTATTAACTGCTAACTCCGAAAAAAAAATAGCAAATAGAAAAATACGTAAGCGTAAATTTTCATGGCTAGCTTTGTTTTTAAATAAGTTTGTTTGGAATATTCGTTTATTGCAAGATATTTCGCATAAGAGAATTCGAAAGAGAGAACGCATAAGAGAATTCGCATAAGAGAATAACACTGCTTTAGGGCAATATGAAGAAAAAGATTCCCTTTCTCTCCCCCACCCGAGACAAAATATATCCTAAATAGTGACCCACACCCCTATTTGAAATAGTTATACCTTGTACTTGTTATAGTCCATTCCACCTTAAGTTGGCACTGGAGAGAAAGGTAGGAAATGTAATACTCCGCCTTTGAAAAGTAGTTCTTCGCTATTTTGGAATTAATTGCAGTTTAAATGCGCGTACAAATATAAATAAATGTTGCATAGTAAGAAAAGTATGTCTTGAAACATTCATTAGAAGTTTTTCATGTTTAAATGTATTTAACTTATAAATACCTTCTCAGTAAAGCGAATGTACAAAGAAGAAGGAGGTGTTTTAGTTTGGCGCTGAATTAGTTTTCAAGGACAAGGAATTGGCTCATTGGCTGTGTTTCTACACTGGTCAGTCAGCTTTTCCATTCGCCTTGGCTTTGCTTAAGTGTCCTTTTTTTTTTTTTTTTTTTTTTTTTTTTTTTGTATTTGATTATTTAATTTTCTAATATTAACCTCATCTGTACAATATTTAATGAAAAGTTTTTTCCCCTCAGAATAAATGAAAAAAAAAAACCCAATAGACAGGTGAATA